CCCTTGATTCTAGCCAAGATGTGATCGCGGTTGATCTCCAAGCTAGAACCCAATCGCAATTCTGATTGGTTTAGATTTTAGCTTTATTTTTAAATGTTCAACGGTATATGTAATTTCAAAGGTCCGTCAGTTCAACGTTGGATACCTGCTGGCAAGGTTACTTTTGCTTCTGGTCAATAAGATCGAAGGTATGTGGCCAGTCATAAAAAGGGACTTTAAGGAAAAAATGTCATCGCCAGTCCGGTACCCCAGACGCCATTTTCGATTCATATTTCGCCGAATTTATGTGGCGATGGAGGTACACGGATATTCATGATAAATTTAGACAGTATCTAACAGTTATTAGAAAATTCTGTGCACCTAAATATAAGGATATTCAAGCTTAATGGAGAAGTTAGTTTTTTTTTTTTCTTTCTGTGATTACGCCATTAATTTTTGTTTCGATTCAAAATGCATTTCACTGGGTTTATTAATTTTGCTCATATTGGGTTCATTGCAATTTTATAAAGTTTCAGCCGCCATTTCGTTGAAATTTGTTTCCTATGTTTTATTGAAATATCATTATGTTTTGGCAGCAATTCCTGTTACCACGGTGTTCTGCGCAAACAGGAATGACGCCAAACATAAGTCACCAATTTCGCCAAGGGGCACCCTCAAGTATATTTTTACCGAATTTATATATTATAATTGATTTACTGAAATTATTGAGTTATGCTAGTATTGACTGAACATGACATCTTTAAGTAAAACTAACTATTTATTCAGTATACTACAAAAAGAAACAAAATGGAACGATGATCGTAATATATATAAAAATAATAAAGAGCACGGGCTTCATAGGTGAAAGTTGAATTAGTAGTGCTGATGTGTTCCCAGATTTCCTAAATATCTAAATACCAATGTTTTTTCTTTCTTATTAACACATCTACATCAATAAAAAAAAATAATAAGTAAAAAATAAAATAATAAACATATGAAGGGAAACAAGACATTTAACAGCAATTATTTATTTATTAAAATAAAAAATCGGCGAATCATTGTTTACTTTAACTAGATTGAGTGATTCAATTGTTCCTTTGCTTCAAGACCAATCCATAGGTTCAGGTACATCTCCTTTCCACTCTTGTTTACTTAAAATCCTGCCAAATTGTTTCGAGTTGCCTTTTCGACCATCTTTAGCGCTTTCTGGCTTTTGGGGATTTTCCATCACTTGACCACTGACCAGGTTTTTCGACTGTGAGTTCTGATATAGATACTCCAAGCGCTTGCGAAAATAGCATCTGAGACCGGGTAGGATAGGACCAACACTTTCTCCGCATCTCTTTAATTCTTGCCTCAATTCCACATCAGACAAATCAGATATATTTTTTATTTGACTCATTTTTTTATATAAGTAAATTTGCAAGTCATTCGACTTATTTTTAATAAGTCAAAAATTATATTTCGTTTTTATGACAGTTTATCAAAAATATGTTGTTTACGGAAAAAAGTAGACGAATCTTTTAAAGAAAATTATGCTTTTGCTGACTATACGCTGTTTCTAATTCAAGTCGTTCAATGTTGCAGTTCATAGAATTATACCTGTATATTAATTTCAGATTTGACGCTTATCTACATGAGTTATCTACATAAAGGTTGAATATTTTCTACGTGAAATTAGAACAATTATACTCGATGCTCATTAATTAAATCATGAATGTTTAAGCGTTTAAGGACGATCCTTTCTGACGTCATCATAACGCGTGTCACTAAGTTTCTTTTGGCCCAACCAAAGAATATAGAAAGGAGAAGTCCAGCTTTTCGAACTAAGGAGGAGAAGTGCTCAGTGCGGTACGCTATTCCAGAAAAACAACCTACAGGGTGAGTAACATACTCAAATTCAGCAAAGTATTATTTGAACTAAGATCCAGCGCATGCGCATTAGAAGCAAAGTAACAGTTAGGCTACGCGCAAGGAGCTTTGATTCAAGCAATAAAAACTTGTAAATTACAAATTGTTTTTGGTCGCCTTCTCCTTTTTACATGGTGGACGCTACAAGACGGAGGCTCGGACGGTGTGCAGACCATCCGTAGGGTCAGCAGGAATTAGAAAACAGAAAGCCTTACGTTTCAATTTTTTATTGTGAAATATAATATTTCTTTCAATTTGTTTTTGTGGAATATGTAATTTCATCGATGAACGAAAAACTTGTGTGGTACGTCGTCTGTGAACCGATTGTTGGACAACTTACCATGAATGGTTGGGCACGTTGCTTTCTGCCAACCGCCATTTTATTCTTTCTTTTATGTCAAAATGTGTTAGCAGATTCAGTTAAAATGAATGATATAAATGCATTCTCAAAGAAATATCTTAATTAATACTACAGTACTGTTTATCAATAGTGCAAAAATACAGAGCAAACCAACAAGAGAAAGCTTTTCTTCTTCACTTCAACTCTTCCTTAACCCCAGTACAGGTAAGGAGGAGAAGAGGGTGCAAACTCGTTTCAAGAACCTCTACTATTGTGTCCCTAAATGTTGGTTTCTTCTTTATACACGGGGACCTCACACCTCATCTAGCCTTGAGAGACTGGTTTACATTATGCCAATGGAAGCTAGACTTCTTCCCCTAAGTATATTCTTTGACCCAACTGCGCCTTCTTGCAGCATTTAAAAGAAACAGTTTATTCAGTAGATATAAGTAGATTAGTTCCATAATATTCAATAGAATAGTTGCCACATTACGGTACATAAAGTAGTGTCTCGGTCAAATTTTTTTTACTACTTTACGATCCTATTTGTAGCATAAATGAATTATTGTTTTAAAGTTGTTTTTTGTTGTTTGCTGTTTGTTTTTTGTTGTTTAAAATTTTTTTTCATGATTTATTGTTTTAAAGTTGAGTTTTTATGCTTCATTTCAATCAGAGTTATTGAATTAAGATTTGATTGTGTGAATTTATGTTAGTGATCCAAAATTTTTATATTTTGTGCATTTATGTAGAAACATAAAATTTCTAACACTTAGAAAAATGAAAGTTTCTTACATTTTAGTTTTATAGTACGTAAAAAATATTTCCTTCATATTTTTATTTACTAATGTTTATTTCTAACTCTCATGCAATAAATTCTATCATAAACAGAGAAAATAAAAATAAGCAAATCTACATAAAGGATACTTTTCGCAATTTATTCTTCAATTTAAAAGGAGGAATGTTACATGTCATTCATAAAAATATGTATTTTATTCTACAGTGATATAAATTTAATAATTAGATAAAAGGTGAGAAGTTAAAATATTTAAAATAAATCGACATTTACTTTGCAAAATATATTTTTTGTCCTCATTAACAAACGTTATCCTTAACAGCATTGAAGTATCTCATAAAACTAAAATAAAATAAATGATCAAACGTTTATAAGGAACTTTAAAAGTTCAATTAAAAATACTAAGAGACAACAATAAACTCATAAATTTATTAATCGAACAAATAGTTAATCTTTCGGCGTAGCTTTGAGCCAAAACTGTTTGTGCCAGACTGTTGACATTTGACGCGCATCGATAAAAAAAAATCGCATCATCTTTCTATATGTCTAGAGTATATCAGCATTTGTTTTCGAGATCATTTATTTTTAATTTTGTAAGCAAAATCAGAGCTTTGTATTTTTATTTATTTCAAAGCTCAGGAAAATAACGATGCCTTTCTTAAAGTACACAGCGCTCCCCAGCGGCAGCAAGCTTAACTACTTGTTGAACCATAAAGTAATGGTTTTTTTTTAATATATTTACTTAATTTATGAAATTCTCTTTGATTTGGTTATTTATTTTTCGATTTTTTTTATTATTATTATTCATTTAAAAAAATTTCATGATGTCAAATGTTTATGAAGACAAAGTACATTTTTTAGCACTTAAAGTAGTCAATTTGATTTTCTAAAGTTAATTACGATTCTCTATTTTTCTTGTACGATTGTATTTCCAAGTTGATTATAATAACATACTTGGCGTGCCCCATTAATAATTATGAACTAACGGAAGATTATATACGGATAAATATTATTCCTTATTACATAAATACTTTTTGATAAATTATCAATGCAGATTTCTCATTTCTCTACTTATAGTAGTATTTATCACATAACAGAACTAAATAAAAACAAAATAAACAAAGGTAAATTAAACTATACCCTTTCATGTGACTAGAATAGGTATCCCCACTCTCCACGCTTTTCTCCTCCATTACCATAGTTTCTCTAGCCATAGTCAACATCTCTTTGACGCGCCCTTATTAGGATATTAGTTCATGATGTGGAATCTTAGTAGGGCAGAGATAAATTTGCCATTGGGATGACTTTCGCATTTATGTTAGAGGAAGAGGAAAACCACAAAATTGCCATTGGTTAGCCAACCTAACGAATTTAACCCATGATTTGTTTATCACAATTGAACTAATTTTAAGAAGTTTTTAAAAATCTTCCTAAATTTTATTAAAAATTTTATTCCAAAATTTTAAGCGAAAATGTATTGAATTTGTCTTTTTTATTTAAGGCTGCTTAAAAATAGGGAATTAGCAGCGTAGAATTTTCTTTTATATTTACCCAGTATCCTAAAAAAAAAAAAATCAAAATGGATGTCTTGTAGTCCTTCTATGACGGCATAGCTTCGCAGATTAGTGTAAAAGTAAATCAATGCATTCGCATCATCGAGGAAGTTATAAACACCTCTTATTGTAGTGCCATCTGCTGATAATATAGAGAACCTCCGTCGGGAATATGGCGATTTTACTTTAATGTGTAGTTACTGGCCATTATACTTGGAGACTTAAGTTTGTGTAAACTTGATGAAGAGCGATCTAGTTCAGCCTTGATGCATATTAGAACATAATCGTAACTGTCACTGCTAGCGACGTAGTTTGTTTAGCCTTGTCTACAAATTCCAAATAGTTTTTATTTTTTTATTTTTTTTGACAATTCAAACTTGTTTTTAGTTTAACCTTTAACTCAATGATAATTTTGTTTCTTTAGGTTATTCCGTCCGAAAAGAAAACGCCGTCCTGATGGTTTATTTAAAAAGATGACCTTCAAAATGCCTATAGTGTCTAAGGACGAAATGGCTCTACGTTTTCATCAGAACTGGCGAGAACAGAACCCGGATGATTTTGTCGACGACAACGGAGGTGTCGACGATTGTCTTACTAACCTTAATTGGTTGCAAAATCTGAACATCATGACAAAAATCGGGGCACCGACCCCCGAGACACCACCAGCCAGCCCTGTGCCCTCTCCGGACTCTTTCCTATCGTCTAAGACATCTCTATGTTGTGGAGAAAGGAATTTAGTAAATAAATCAAAGAACAATTTCTGCAACAAACCTGTTGTAGAGGATGTGGACTATAAGACGAATGGAACAGTAAAACCACCTTACTCTTATGCAACTTTAATATGCATGGCCATGAAGGCCAACAAGAACAAAATGACTCTCTCAGCCATTTATAAATGGATAAAAGAGAATTTTATGTATTATAGGAATGCTGACCCTAGTTGGCAGGTAAATTTTTTTACTTTATAACCAATTCTTAGTACTTTTGAATGTTACTAAAATGTAATTGATAAAATTAAACTTGTGGTACAATTTTAATTAACTATAGGCGAGTTGTAAAATGCACCCTATTGTGTATAAATTATGTGAAATGATCTTGGAGATAAATTAGAAAATTCTGAACAAAATATATAGTTTCTGCAGACCACATACATAATAATTTTAGGTACCATTTCGTCTTAGGGAGCCGTAAAAATTTAAAAAACTATTGGCGCAAATCGTACTAGTTAATCGTAAATGTACAAGTGTTGAGGCATATCGTACAACATCACTCATAGCGTCGACCATCTTGGCGGTAATCCAAATAGCATCTCGAGAAATGTGAAAACATTATTTTCCTTCAATTTTAGATTCCAATGAATTAATAAGTCAAGATAAAGGGTCTAGAACACAGAATTCCTTTATTGATTGTGATAATTTTTTTTACAATCAAACGATTTCATTATTTTCACATTCGATAACTTTTTTGTAACCCAACTAAGGAAAACCAATTTTGTTAAGCATTTTTATTAAAAAAAATGAATAAATTACTTAATCATATATATAAAAAATATGTATATATATATATCTAACAGTCTGTAGTGTTTTCGCTCCCCCCCCCCCGGTCTTTCAATGTGAAGGGCAAAAGCTTTTGAAACCGTGTTCCGCTTCTCCTTCGTGTGCCGTAGGGAAAAATGTGGGGTGAAACGTCGGTGTTTTCAAGTCTAATATTATTCCTTTTATAGTAAAATCTTATGACTCAAAAGAATAAAGGGTACTAGTTAATAGAAAAAGTTGATTGATATTCGAATATCTCTAAGAAATAAAGTACCTGCTCTAAGTGAAAAGGCTTCAAATATTCTCATTCCTTTTGCTACTTCATACTAAGCTGGGTTTTCAACAGTTGCTGTTCTAAAGAGCAGCTGTCACCAAACGATGGTTCGTGGACCACTGGGTTGGAGGAATACGAAAGAATTCTTTACATCTACGAAATAATTTTCAGCAAGCAAAGATTTTTCGTTTGGTAGTGTCGGTCAAATTTACCCTCACCCTTCTCACTTGTGTGAATTTAGATCACATTGTATTAATTTTAGAACTGTTGTTGAGAAACTGACCCAATTCTAAGTTTACGATTTCCAATGTTCAACTCCACATCCGTGTAATTTTGAACTCAATTCTGAAGACAAGGGAACTCCCGGATGAAGTACTGAGACAAACTAGCCATCGCGAGATTTTTTTTTATGGAACTACCCCGCACTTGCGTTACATGGGCAGGAAAACCATGAAAAGCTCCAACGGTTTGCCCGACGGCAAGGAGGTTCTACCCCATGATCCTTCAACCACTGAGAATTTACGTCAACACTGTTGTCGGAAGCAGAATTCTTGTCAACCAGCAACCGCTGGGACTCAAGCCTGCTAACCTCATTTAAAAACTCTCTATCCCCTAAGCCACCGCGACTCTATTTGTGGTATTTTATTTTATAACTGACTCGGAACAGCCGACCCGATTCAGAGTTTACAACTTCTCAGTTCACGACTTCCAAGTTACAATTCAACTCTGTTGCCTCATAATAGCTACCTCCCACGGTTAGCCTCAGAGCAAGGGGACTCTAACCTATGATCCGCTTACCACTGAGGATATTTCACGTCAACACTGTGGCCGGTGTAAGCCGGATGTGGAATTCGTATCGACCAGCCATTGCCGGGATCGAACCCCGGTTCACCTCATTGGAAGGCGAACACTCTGACTCCTAAAGGCCTGGTTTCTTAGCACAGGGCGCCGTCAGCTGGAAATCAGCGCTAACCTCTGATTGGTCCATTTGTGAGTTTGATAGTATACGTCATCGAGCGCTCATCTTGAACTGCAATTGCCGTCCAACTCAAATGCAGTTGGATTACAACGTGACGTTAACCACAGAAGCAATGGCGGACAACATCCAACAGCACTTTGAAATCAGCCAAGATTTTGATTTTGACATTAAACATAGCTTCTTCATTAAACATAGCACTCTTCATTTAGCTCAGCTATAATGTGTTTTTTCTTGGACAAAGTCATTATTTGTTCTCTAAAACACTGGTCGACAATAACAAAATCAATACAAATTCAAAATAAATATTTGTTTACGTTATTAACGCATGCGCAATGAGAGATAATGTCTGCGTTGGACCGACTGCTCACGCTGAGCTAACAAAAAAGTATTTTTTTGGCGTCAGATCTACGTCAACTTTCCGCTGACGCCCAGATAAGGCGCTAGTTCTAAGAAACCAGGCCTTGAGCTAACAAACCAGTATTTTGTTGGCGTCAGCGTGACGTTGACGTCCCGCTGACGCCCAGATAAGGCGCTTGTCCTAAGAAACCGGACCTTAAGCCGTCGCGGCTCATTATTTAATCATTATCATCTATTTGACTTTTCTATCTTATCCTTGATCACCTTAATAATAAATTTAATTTTATAGAAAACATAAAGTTTGTACAGTTCGCCTCCCCCCTTCCGAAAAAAAAAAAAAAGAAGAAGAACAGATTACTACCCTGAATAGCTTTTGATCTAAAGAATCGATCTTCACTTTCTAAAACTCAACCTTAATGAGGGAGTGACCTTAAATGTGTTAATTAATTAGTGCAGAAAATATTTCAAGTTACGAAATCAGACACAAAAATGTATTTTATCTGAATAAACATACCTTTTTTTTCGACGGATTCGGATTTCTGACTCCCAAAATATAGGGGATAGTCGCAATCTGGAAATTATGGTCCTAATAGTTTGATCAGGAAAGCGGCCCAAATTTGGACCCCTAGATAATTTTACTTTTTGCGTATTTCGCCATATCTCAAGAACTTTTTACACGAATCGAAAAACTTTAGCACATAATTATGAAACTCGTTTATCCAAACATAATTCTATGCAAAAAATAAGTTTCAGAAAATATTTATTATTCTTTATTATTTCATTTAATATTAGTTGAAAAAAATTTGAATTGTAAGGTATACAATTTTTTACATCATTTTAAAGTATCTAATTTCACATGGCAAAATACAAAATTTGAACAAAATCGGTTGAATAGTTCCTGAGAAATCGAATTTTAAATGTACAACTTTCTTTTCGGCTAAGGCGCCATAAGTGATTAAACTTTTTTCGGCGGGATTTCGATTTTGCAAATAATTAGGTATATAAAAATGATGTGAAATAAAGTATATAAAACGATGCAAAATAAAGTACATAAAAACAATTAAGAAACTATTAAACAATAAAAGACTACTTTATTGTGAAAATATTTAATAAGATGTTAATGAAATTTAGTTTTATTTATATACGCAGTCTTAAATTAGATTTCATATCTGACAGTTGAATTCGCACTTCTGGAACTGTATCTAATCTAATTTTATTTTATTTATTTATTATTTTGTTTTAAATACATAAGCTTAAACTAAAATGAATTATACGAATTATGGTTTTCGTGGAAATAAAAGCTAAAAAAAGGGCTGCAAACGCTTGAAAACGGTTACCAGGAAAACATATTTATTTATTAATAAATTTAGCTATTTTATTTTGTGTCAAAAAGCAAGATAAAAAATACTAAATGCTTGTCCTTTTCATAATTTATTCAAGACATTGATATTGGAAAAATAATAATTTTAAAAAACTCTATTATTTTTCATTGGTATTTCACTTTAATTTTATAAAGAGAACCGAAATGTTAAATAAGATTATTAATAGATTTATTTATAAATACTGAATTCAAAAATCATTACTGTGTGGTAAAAACAAGCCCTAACTTCACGGTCAATCGTTACCATTTCACGGAACCCTAGGGTTCTGCGGAGCACCAATAGGAAACAGAGGTGCTAATGCACAATAGAAAAACGACTAGTTATTCACTAACAGTTGCAAATCAAGAAACATCTATAAAACATTCCATGGGGGAAAAAATCCAAGGCTTCCGTATTTCATCATCTGGATGAGAAATTTATTTGGCGAGCTCCCAAAAAAACCAAAATGTTCAGGTAGGGGGCGTGACAGAGCACGTGACACAGCAGCCCATTTTTCATCATGAGATAGAAAAGAGAAAATGTTTTTTTTTTCGGGGGGAAGGGGGTAGAGAAAAACTAAATCGATTTTTTTTTTTTTTACCAGCAGTTGCACCCCCTTCAGTCAACAAAATGCCATGAATTGATTGTTCCCACTCATTTTGTATTGATTTTGAGGCTTTTAATGCTTCTACAAAAAAAACTATGCATATATAAAGTGCGGCACAATTCATATTGATTTGGAAATAGTTCTTTTTCGCTTTTTTTTATTTTTTATTTTACCTTGTGGCTTAGATTTTATACCTCTATGGACATGATCCAAGGTCTTTCCCGCTTCTTTCTTTCTGTTTTCCTTTCTTTCTTTTTTTCCCCAGCCATTCATCTCTCTGTGTGAAGGAAGCGACTGAATCGGATTTCGTAGCTTAAGAATCAAGAAAATTAAAAATAGAACAAAATAAATTAAGTTCACTAGAATCAGACTAAATTCACTAAAATCAAGAGGAAAAAGATATTTGAAAAAATAAGCTTAATATTGAAAGCGATTAATTGATTATTATGATAGTTTTCATTTTATGACCGCGGTTGAACAGCCGACCCAATTTTAAAGTTTACTTCTACCAATGTTCGACTCCGTAGCCTTGTAGTTTTGAACCTAATCCAAGAGACAATGAATCAAGTATTGGGAGAAATTTGCCTTGGTGGAGGACCTTTTGATGGAACTAACCCAAATTTGCACCTTTATTCACCTCATTGGGATGCTAGCGCTCTATCCCCTGAGTCACCACAGCTCTCATTGTGATCCTTAATGTTATATTACATTAACGGTCAAGCCCTGGGTTATGGCGTCTGTTAGGGTTCGTTGGTAAAATGTGACTGGGACTGCCTTGGCCTATAGTAAGCTTTAGTGCATCTGAAGAAGAAGGTCGTGTTATATTACTTTTCC